GGAGGGGAGGTGTTGCGGCAGGCGGCGAGCCACAGGGCACGTCTCAGTTGGGACTGTCCCCAGCAGCAGCTGCCTGAGCACAGAGCTGCACATCACCATGCCATGAGTTAGCTGGCACTCAGCTTTCACTTCTGTCTCCATGCTGTCATGCCTGGGACTTGGGGAGGCTTATTTCTCCCAAGCTGGGGGCTGGGTTTTCCTCACTGTAAGAGGCTTTGCCGTTTTTCAGCCTTTGTGATCTTGGGAGCCTGAGTTTCAGGTGCAGAGCATGGTGCAAGAGCAATTTCTCTGGTCTGACTTGAGAACTTGGATTTATCGCTGTGTGGCTCTGGGGCTGGGTGCATGTGTGCAACACAGTCAGGGGAAGAGGAGTCTGCTCCCACCCTGCCAGCAAGTCAGGCATGACTGGGCCACAGCACCCCTGCCCAGAGAGCGGCACCTCTTCATTTTTATACTGTGTCTGCTCAGGATGTGCTTCCTGCTTGGGTGTCCCTGCTCACAACAGGCCTCTTGGGCTTTCTCCCCGCTTGGGCTAGGTCTTGCCTGGAGAATACGGATCCTCGGACGCGAGGGCGAGGCATCCAGCTGCTGTCACAAGTCCTGCTCCAGTGTTATTCCCTGCTTCAGGCTAAGGAAGGTAAGGACTGCTCTGGGCCCTTGAGTGGCTGCCGGCAGGTTGGGAACAAAGTCTGTGCGGCTTGAGTGTCTGTCCTGCAGTTGGCAAAGGGATTGATTTAGCACCATGACAACTTTGTCTTTCAAGAGTCAAAGTCCAAGGAGGGCACAGAGCCTCATGCTGCAGCCTTTTTGACAACCTCACCACACAGTTCACGTCGCTCCTTGAACACGGCAAGGCTGCAGCTCGTGCCCCCAGCAGTGTGTGGGTGTCGCACAGACAGGTGTTCTCAGCACCACGTGGGATGCCTTGGGGACACGTCTACACATGAAAATCCTTGGGTGGTGATTCAGTGCAGGAAAACCATTATTCACAAAGAGAGTCAGACCTTTCAGAGTGTAGCCCTGCAGCCTGCCCAAGTTGACTCTGGGGGAACCCTGGGGCCTTGGGAGGAGGAGAGATCAGTGTAAGGATGAGAGTGCAGTGTGGAAGACTGGGGTAGGGAGAGGAAGATGCCCTGTTCGTGGAGGCAAGGAGAAGGTTTGGCTGTGTTACATGCCCCATAGCAACTGGCTGGCAGCGAGGGAAGCAAGTAAGTGCTGCCAGACTTTGACTTTGGTTGGAGGCCTTGCTGATGGGTAGCTGAACCTGTGCCAGCAGACTCCAAGGTAGCGGGCCCCAGCTAGTAAGTGAGGTGGAGGAAGGGAAGGATGCAAGTAAAAGGTGCTTAGTCCTTGGTGTTTGACTCTGGCACCGGACAGGGCTGAGAGCAGCTGTGCAGAGAGAACACACACAGACCAGCTACTGGTGTAGCTGAAGTCAGGTGTGATGACTGTAATGGGGACTGGGGTGCTCTGGGGGGCAGTTGGAGGTGGGGAGGTTCGGTGGGGATGCCTGGCAGAGTCAGGGCAGCTGAGTGAGCTGGGTTAGAGCCAAGTCACCAGGAGGTCTGGAGGAGGGTGGGCAGAGCCAGCTCCCCAGGAAGGTGTGGGTGTCTGCTGTGACACCTCCCGCTGGCCCTGTCTCCCTTCGTGTTCCTCCTCACGAAGTTCATTTCTCAATTGCTGCGTCAGGCTGCTGCCTGGGGGGGTGAGTTCCTGCAGCAGCTGTGGGCACAGGATGCTGCTAGCTGGCTTTTCCAGTCTCCTTCCTGCTGCCACTCCCCAGGGCCGGGATGTGCAGGCGCCCATGGCTGTGACTCAGGGGCCGGGAACGTGTTGTGGAGCCAAGCACAGGGAAGCCGGAGCTCCTGCTTCAGCCCTGTGCCCCACCCCACAACATCCTCCAGCCTCAGTTGAGCAGGCATCTGCTGCTTCTCTGCTCGTGTCTGCACCCACATGTCTGGGCAGGCCAGGGCAAATGCCTCTCGGGTAGCTCCAGCACCTCTGCAGTGGCCGGAGGTGGGTGCTGCCCCACTGCAGTCAGATGTGAGTTGCTCACGGGGGGAGGGTGAAGGCATTGGAGGCAGGTGGGTGCACCCAACAGTGGCAGTTAGTCCCATTCACCAGCACAAAATGTGCTCACTGTTCGTACAGCAGCTGCTTTTGGCAGAGCTAGGGCTGGGTTTTGGCAGCTGCATTTCTTGGGACTAGCGCATGTTGGTGTCTGTTTCTGACAGTGCTGCATTTGGTCCTGTTCTATGAGAATCGTCTGCAAGATCATCACCTCGTGATCCCCTCGGTGCTCCAGGGACTCCGAGCACTGGTGAGCTCACGCCCCCCAGCCCACAGTGCTGGGATGCACTCCAGAACAGTGTCAGGGAGGTGCAACGCCTGGGTACAGGTTGGAGCAGCATGAGCAGCAGGGCCTGGCTGGGCTGTCAGCTCCTGCCTGGTGGCATTGCCCTTTCTCCTCTGTGCTCCTGCTGTGCCCCTTGCCGAGGGGCAGGGGAGAGGAGACTGCCTTGACTTCTTTGCGCATGTTGGTGCTGGGGAAGGGATTCCTTGGCCCACCTGGAAGCAGTACAGGTGACAGGCATCTTGTCCTGCCCTGTCTGTGGGGTTTGTGAGCTCTCCCCAGCACAGGAGAAGATCCTGCAGGTGGTTGCTGTACAGAAGCAGGAGCTCTGTTACATGGCTGCCATCATGGTTTACTGTTCTTGCTTTGCTTTTCCTGTCGCTAGAGCATGTGTGAGGTGCTGTCTCCAGGGCTCGCGGTGTCTGTGCTCAAAGCCATCTTCCAGGAGGTACACGTGCAGGTGAGCAGTGTGATTTCCTACCCTCCTGTCCCTGTTCCCTGCTTGCTGGATGTCTGGGGAGGGCCTGCCTGCCCCAAGGACTGAGCACATTCAGCAGCAGTGCAGTCTAGTGCATCCTTCAGCAGCAGTGCAGTGCTCCTGCGGAGCTTAGAGGCAGTGTGTCTCACTGCAGAGGGAGAGGCAGACAACAGCTGAGGATCCTGTTTGGCCTTTGTCTTCTCTTCTCTCGACCCTGGGGGAATTACTTCCTTTGATCTGTTCTCCAGTCTGTGTTTAAGTGCCCTCAGTACCCAAATTCTCCTCTAGTTTTAAGAGTGTTTACAGTGGCAGGGCCTTGGGCAGCATGTGTGGCCCTGGTGTGACTGTGGTGGTGCATTCATGCAGTGATAGACACAGTCATGTTCAGGTGCCATTGCATAGGCATGTGCATGCTTTGCATGTGGTAAATGGGATCTGCATGCCAGGAAGCAGCAGCTGAGCTACTTCCTGCGCTCTTCTCAAGAGCATGCACTTACCCTTCAGTGGTGGGTTGCAATGCTGCCATGTGTGGAAGCTTGATTTGATTGCTCTGCTCCTCCCTGCAGTCCCTGATGCAGCTGGACCGCCACACCGTCTACAGTATCATCACCAACTTCATGGGCACCAGGGAGGAAGGTGAGGGGGCAGATGCTGGAACGAGGTTGTCCACACTGGGAAAATGGCTCGCTTTCACCTTCTCGGAGAGCTCTGTGGCTCTGCCTGGGGAGAGCTGGAAGGGCTGCGGGGCCGGGGAAACCGGTCTGATTTTGTGCCATGTTGGTGAGGTCTGTTGTCCTGCATGTGCTCATGCTCCTTCTTTCTGCAGAGCTGAAGGGCCTGGGTGCTGACTTCACCTTTGGCTTCATCCAGGTGATGGATGGGGAGAAGGATCCCCGCAATCTGCTGGTGGCCTTCCAGATCGTGCGTGATCTCATTGCCAAGAACTACGCCCTGGGTGAGCCTGTCCCTGCTGTGCAGAGCTGACGGGGAGACATGTCACTTTTCTTTGAGCTGCTGGAGGGATGGCACTTGGGTCTGACCAGGGCTGGGTTTGTCCCTGACATGCTTCGGGAGCTGCAGAGCCAGCCTGTCGTGGGTGCTAGGCATGGCTGCTGGGCCTCTTTTGCCCAGCATCTTTGCTCACTCTCTCTCCTCTGCCTGCAGGTCCCTTTGTGGAAGAGTTGTTTGAAGTGACATCCTGCTACTTCCCCATTGACTTTACTCCAGTGAGTGAGTCTGCCCTATGCCACAGGCTATTCCTTCTGGTGTTTTCTCAGACGGTCATGTCCCCTCTAGAGAATGGGAGAAGAGGGTGGGCAAGAGTCTTGACTGAGAAGGGTTGAGCTGCTGTGGTACCCCAGCAGACAGGGCAGTGCCAAGCTGGCTGCAGTGACTGGCATTGCTGCTGCCTTGCTGGAGATGAGGTGCTGCAGCCTCAGCTGATGGCTGGGCCGGGAGGTTTTCTGACTGGTGATCTGCCCTCTGTGCTTCCTTTCCAGCCCCCCAATGACCCTCACGGCATCCAGAGAGAAGACCTGATCCTGAGCCTCCGGGCCGTACTGTCCTCTACACCCCAGTTTGCTGAGGTAGGAAGCTCCTAGGGAATTCCATTGTTCCCTGAGCACAAGCTGCATTTCATAGTGCTGCAGCTCGTGCTGTGGCTCTGTGGAACAGGAACAACTGGGGCCAGGAGCCTGCACTAAGGCAGACCTGTCTCCTGCTGGGGCTGGGCATGGGGAGGGTGCTGATGCTTACACCTAGGGAAGTGGCTGCCTGCTGCAGGTATCCCTCCACCTCTGCTCTCCTGGTAGAAGCTGAGCTTGTAGCCCTTCAGGGCCATGGACAAGATGGTGCAAAGGGTGGGCTGAGTCTAAGTGCCTCTTTCTGCAGTTCCTGCTCCCTCTGCTTATTGAGAAGATGGACTCAGACCTGCAAAGTGCCAAGCTTGACTCCCTGCAGACTCTGGTAAGGACAGATCCCCTACTCCCTTCATCTCACAGCTGGCCTGTGGCAGCAGCAGCCAGCCACTTCTGAGCCCTTCTCCCTGCCAGCCAGAGACTCTCCCTTGCAGAGCCACAATTTCCAGGGTTCTAGTTTGGCTTGCATCAGTCTTTCTTCTTCCTCTCTCCCTTGAGTGGTTCAGCATGAGCCTGTCAGGGTGGGCAGTGTCCCTGCTCTGTGTCCTCCAAGTACTGGCTTCTCTCTGATGCTTTCTCCTGGCTCTCTCTTGCAGACTGCCTGCTGTGCAATCTATGGGCAGAAGGAGCTGCAGGAATTCCTCCCGAGCCTCTGGTCATCCCTGCGCAGGGAGGTGAGTGCTGCAGGGCCCCTAACAAACACTCTACCACAGTTGGGCTCCTGCTGAGTGTGAGTTCACAGCCAGAGCAGGCGGGTCCCATATCTCTCAGCAGCCCCCACCTGTGGGTTTGGACAGCCCCAGCTGAAAACTGGGGGGACAGGCCAGCCCTATCAGCATGTCCCTGGAGCTTGAATGTGCCACACTGCATGTTTGAAGCACGTAGGAAGTGAAGTGGGAGCCTGAGACCTTCAGCCTGCATTGGGAGTGTGAAGCCTGTGATTGGGGTCAGCACAGATCTTAGCACATCCTATGGCCTCTTCTACAGGTGTTCCAGACAGCGAGTGAGAAGGTGGAGACGGAGTGCCTGACTGCACTGCACGCCCTCTCTGTCTGCCTGTCCCGCTCTGTGCTCAGCTCTGACACTGAGGACCTGCTGGATTCCTTCCTCAGCAACATCCTGCAAGGTAGCTAGCAGAGAGACTTACCCTGCCCTGAGCAGCCGTGCCTGCAAGCATCCTCCTAGCTAGAGATCTGCCCTCCTGTTCTCTTTGAAGCCTCTTCTCTTTCTAGTTTTCACAGCCACTGTTGGCTTCTGCAAGGTAATTGGCTGCAGGAAGGGAAGAGAAGGAGGCACAGTAGGAAATGCCTGTTGGATTGAGTTGCTTCCCTCTCTGCTGGGATTGGGGCATCCAAGGCTGTGCTGAGGGCTTGGGGCTGGAGGAAGCAGCTCTGTTAGGAGGGCTGTGCTGCAGCTCAGAGCTGCGCCCCGGCAGCACGTCCCAGCCCAGATATCAGCTGCATCCCCGCATGTGAGGCAGAGGATCTCTGCTACTGCAGCTGACACCCAGCCTATCTCAGATTGCAGGCACCATCTGTGCGAGCCTGACATGAAGCTGGTGTGGCCAAGTGCCAAACTCCTGCAGGCAGCAGCAGGAGCCTCCCTCCGTGCCTACCACTGCATCACCCGCAGTGTCCTGCCCCTGCTTCTGGAGCAGTACATCAAGCACCCACAGGTGAGCACTCTGGACTCTGTTGTCACAGGCAGCAGGGCTGAGTACACCTACTGGCTCTGCAGGGCTTGGTGGGAGCAGGGTATGAAAGTGGAAGTCCTGCCCTGGCTGCAGGTGGGGACCCTGTGGGCACCCTCTGGCCTCACAGTGCTGGTCTGAGGCATAGCTGTGTCCCAGCAGTGACCGTGATTTGGGTTACATGTTTGTGTCCCTGCAGAGCAGCCAGAGGAGGACAATCCTGGAAATGCTGCTGGGCTTCCTGGAGTTGCAGCAGAAGTGGGGACATGTGGAAGAAGGTGAGGCTTGCTGGTCCTTTTGGAGGCGTGTCCCAGGGGGCTACTGACTCTGACCTCACCTTCCCATATACTGACAGAGAAGGAAAGCTCACTCACCTGGGTGGCTCTGTGTGTGACCCCCTGCCATGTCCCTGGGACCCTGCGTGGTTGGGTGTCACCCAACAGGGCCCCAGAAAGAGCCTGTCAGGTGCCATGGTGGTGGCTGTCCAGTGACAGCCAGGCGCAGGCAGTGACTCCATGCCTCTCTCTCCAGACGAGAGCACTCCGCTGTCGCTCCAAGACCGCGTTTGCTCTGTGGTTTTCGCGGCGCTGATGGATCCCAGTGTGCAGCTGCAGCTGGTCGGGATCAGGGCACTGACTGTCCTGGGCTCCCTGCAAGGTTGGTGCCTTGTTTCCCTTGAGGAGGCAGAGGGAGTTGTCATCCTGTTCTGGGAGACATGGTGCCACGTGGCTGCTGGGATGTCCTTGCCTGCTGCCTGTAGGTGTGCAGGAGCAGCAGCAGCATTTTCTACCCAGGCCCTGAGCTCCAGGAGTACTTGGTCTCTCTCTTGTGTGTTTGTGCTGAGCACCTTGTGTCTCTGGTATTTGGCATGCTGCTGCATTGCTACTGGCCTGGATGAGGGGAAAGGATGCTGGCCAGGACACTGGCATCTTTGCCTTTGGCCGAGGGCAGGATTCCTCTACGGCTCTTGTTCCAGGCTTCCTGTCCCCCTCTGACCTGGAGTTGGTTGTGGATCACCTCATCCGTCTCGCTCTCCACGAGGAGGATTCCCAGAGCAGGTGAGGGTCAGGCTGGCACCACTGCAGTCACCCACACTCTGTGGAGGGGAACAAAGCCTGACTTTGCTGCAGAGAGGGGCTGTACTCTGGGGGAAGGCACAGGAACTGGCTGAACTAGAAGACCATGTGGGTATAAGAGCAAAGGGACAAACCAGACGATTTCTGGGCTGCAAATTAGGAAGTCTGGGCCTGTCAAAGTAGGGGGCTTTGCTCTGCCTGCTGGCAGGGTGAAAGAGGCACATTGCTGAGAAATGGGTTTCTGGAGGCACCTTCTGGCCCAGATCTGTACAGCTGGTGTACAAGCAGCCCAGAGTTCGCAGTGCTGTCATCACCTCTCCCACTCTCTTCCCCCCTGGCAGCGAAGCAGCGATGGAGGCAGCTGGATCTCTGGCCCCCATCTACCCAAAAGTTTTCTCTGGACGCATGGTACCCAGGCTTGAAGAGGAGCTGCAGTCAGGTAGGGGTGGCAGCCTTGGGAAGGGAGTGATGTCTGGTTTTGGGGTGAAGCCTCTCCTTGGGGGATCCCCAGCACAGGCACTGTAGTGCTGGCACAGGGAAGACTGTGCCTGGGGCTGGCAACCAGCCTGTGTGGCCAGGATCGCCCTGTGGGGAGGAGCTGGCCAGCCACAGAGCAGGCAGAGTGCCTTGGGCTTGGCATGGGCTAACTGCTCTACTGCTTCACGTTGTCTATCCTGGCAGGGTCTGGGCCCTGAATGCTGTTGGGTGAGGGGGCCTGGGGTCACCCCAGCACCCCTCTGAGGTGTCCTTCCTCTTCAGGGCAGGAGGAGGAGAGCTCCCGTGACCACTGCTCCCGGCAGCAGCGCTGCCTGCAGGCCCTGGCAGCCGTGTCCACCCACACCAGCATTGTGAGGGAGACTGTCCCTGTCCTGCTGCAGCATCTTCGGACTGTGCAGAAAGGTAACGCAGCCCGCGGCAGGCAGCTCCACGGAGTGCGCCTGGGCAGGAGCTGCCTCTGTTATCAGGGATGTCTGGGAGATTGTGGGGATGGCAGTGGGGCGAGGAGCCCAGGGCTGGGCTGTGAATCCCACCACTGGAGCGGGAAGAGGGAGGGCTGCATCGCCTCTGGATCCGTGCAGATCAGGGCCGGGACGGGGGGGAGGCTGCGGCTTTTTGATGTTATGGTGACTGTGCCTTGCAGGAAGCGAGGCCAAGAATGCCCAGGACGTGGTCTCTGTGTGCCAGAGCCTGCACCGTGTGGCCCTGCAGTGCCAGCAGGACGTGGAGGGCTGCTGGTACTACCACCAGACAGTAGTGCCCTGCCTGCTGGCCATGGCCGTTGCCATGCAAGGTAGGGGCAGGGCTGGAGCGGGATGAGGGGGGCGGGCAGCTCCCTGGGCTTTCTGGGGTCCCTGGTCCTGCAGGCAGCACTGCTGCTGCCGCCCTCTGGCAACCGCGGGCACTGCAGGCCCTGCTGCCCCTGGCAAAGGTGGAGCAGGCCTGCTCCAGGCCCGGTGTGGGTCAGGGGGCTGTGCCTGCCTCTGGGCAGCGGGCTCCAGTGTCTCCCTTTCCTTCTTTCCTTCTGCTGCCTGTAGAGAGCACATACCCACTGCTGGGCAAGGCATTGCTAGAGGAAGAGGTGCTGGCTGCCATGGTCCCCGTCATCAGCGCTGCCACCACTCACCTGAGCCCTGAGTGAGTGATGCTGGGGTGGGACACTGGGCACTGCATTGTGGGGAGGGGGCAGGCTGCGCTGCTGGCTGTACAGGGAGGCCCTGCGCCTCCTGTGATGTACACTCCAGTGACCTTCCCAGCGCAGCACATTGAAATGTCTCCTTTCTCCTAGGCTGGCTGCCCAGAGTGCGTCTCACATGGTGCCCCTCTTCCTGGATGGAGAGGTCTCCTTCCTGCCCCAGAACAGTTTTCCTTGCTCCTTCCAGCCCTTCGAGGTGCATTGGGTGCTTGGGGCTTGTGTGCTGGAATAGGGGCAGGGAAAG